AACAGGGAATTATTTGTCATCTCTTGAGGTGAATCCTGGGGCGATTCACGGACAGCAATTTGTCTTCACGAAGCCTGTGGGAAAGGAGGGAGGTTCTCTGCCTTTCACAGCTGGGCAGCTGAGCTGCAGAGATACTGAGATCTAACCATTTTGTGTGCTCATTCTCACACACTATCACTGCACAAGGTTGCAGTTTTAATTTTTTTTTGCTAATTTATCTTTATTTTCATTTTCAGAGCTCTTAGTGCTTCTTTTAACAACTTGCACGCTTGGAGTGCAGAGTCTTGTGTCCTTGATGGTGACTGTGAGCAGTCTCTTGATTGCCAAGCAGGTCCCAGAAAGACATGGGCCAGCAGTGTCACTGGTGGCATGCAGGCAGTGTTGCAGCATCCCTTCAGTGTGGGAAGGGGGGACCTCACCCTGTAGCAGATACCTTGTGGTTTGGGTCCCTTGTGTGCTCCCAGCAGCTGCAGAAATGGGATTACGGGTGTTGGAGGGTACATCCCTGCCTATTCCCCGTGGTTTCTGCGTACAGGCCTCCTGTCTGGGAATTGTCTCGTGCCTTTTTGAGTCCACTGAAGCCATCAGCCTCTGCACCCTCCTGTGCTTGCGTAAGTTCACTGCACCCTTCTGAAACTGCAGAAGTTCACTCTGGTTTGGGTAAAGAAGTGCATATTTTACCCATTTATTTACTGTGAGCTGTGGTGAATATCAGCTCTGCTTTTGGGATATTGTAAACCTTGATCACATGCCTCTCAGCCTTTTCCTCTCTGCAGCAAAAAGTCCCAGCCATTTTAGTAGTCTATCCTTGAAAGTTATCTGCTCTGTTCAGTTACTCATCCTGTGCCTTTCCCAGTTGCATTAACCCTGAGGGGAGCAGGAGTACCCAAAGTCACATCTGAGGTGTAGGGGTCACCATCATGGGCTTCTGCCAGATTTCCATTGATGGCTGATGCAAGTGCTGATAGGCAGAGTGTGGCCATGTCGTGGTGCTGCCAGCAGGATGAACCTATTGGAGACAGCAGTGACCAAATTTCATTAAGTTTATTCTGAGCATGCAGATTGTTTTCGTGTTTTGAAGGCCGTGTTCCCCTATCATTCAACAGCTGCGTCCTTGCTGAATTTCAGCCCGTGGCTCCTGAATACATTCTAGTGAATAATATGGCTTTTCATAGGGAAGAGTGTTAAATATTTGTCGGATGCTGAACCAGCACATCCCAGTGCTGCTCTCCATCCTGATTAACACCTAGACAGGTAGTCGGGATGGAAAACATCCATCTGAGCAGGTAAAGTCTAGCAATGCTCAAAGACCCCAAAAATAGGGTCGTATGATGAAAACTGCCCGTCTTACTTTGTAACAGTCTTTGCCAGGAACTCTTTCTATAATATCAGAGATTTGTCTCTACCTTCTGATACCTGAGACAAATGCAGGGTTTTGGTCCCTGGCTTTGCCACATGCTCTGGATGCAACCTGGCCCCTTCAGGTTGAAGGAGGGTGAGGAAGAAGGTTATGGCTGAGTTAATGGTGTCTCTCAGCATCTGCCTCCTGGGAGATCCTCCAATCCTGTGGTCACAGCAGACCCAGTGACTCACCTGCGGGCAGGCTGGTAGCTGAGTTTTTGTTGCTAAGCACTGGGTGCTGCATTTCTGCTTCTGTACGTTTATGCAAATAATGGAGGAGAAAAGCCTATACTTTATCTGGTTGTCAGGGGAGTTGGCTGGCTTGCTCCCCAGTCCTGGCAGTGTTGCTTGGTAGGTGGCTGTCCCCAAGATGATTGAAGTGGAGAGTGTAAATTGAATTTTCAAAGTGCATCTGGTACAATTAGGCAGAAATGTGATGTGAACCCATCTCTGTTTCCGCTGATGCGAAAATGATGACCTTTTGATTTTAGATAAATGGCTAGTGTGGCACTCAGCCAGGATTCAAGAGCATTTTCTGAGACTACATGTGACTTATTAAGTCTTTTAAACCACAGTTAAACATGGCAGAAAAAAAGACCCAAATGGGAAAAAAAAATGCCTTGAACCTCAAACCTGCTTAAACTGCACCTGAATCTCAGAGCTGAAGGGGTTTACATGCTTGAGTCCAGCTTACCAATATCCACCTGATTTGAACAGCAAGAAGTACTGGTGATGTACTAACACAGGGAAATCCCTTGGTGCTCATGTCTGTACAGGCTCCTGCTGTGAGAAGCTGCTTTGCATCATTGCGTGGGAGGCTGGGACGGAACAATTGCATGAAACTGGGAATGTGTGGGACACTCATCTGAGGGCAACTGAGGCTGTATCACACCTTATTGTGGCTTTAGACTAGAAAACAGGAGGAGGCTTACTAGCAATAGGGCCCATTTGGGGAAATGGCCTATACTGCCAGCCCCAGAGCCAGGAGCGGAGGTTCCTGGTCCATGCTGGGGAGCAGAATATAACTACTGGGACTTGCTGGACAAAGAAGTAACTTGAGTAAGATTGCACAGGTTTGATTTTTTTTTTCATCTCCCTCCCACTAAAAACCTAGGCCTATGACTCAAAATGAACTTTGGAGGCAGAACTGGGCCTGGGTAAACTAAGGAGGGCAAGGGCCCTTGGTTTGCAGGCATGAAGGGGCCCACACCAGGCTGCATTAGATAGCAGGACAAATCCTGCCCTCTGTAGAGCAGTCACCCATTCACTGGGGTTGGGAGAGGGGATAGAGTTTCCTAATTTGCTGCTCAGAGCTCTTGTAGGTCTAACACCAACTCTACTTGAAAGATGCTCAAGCATCTGTTAAAGCATGCACTCATTGACTGCATGCATGGGAAGTATATACACACAGTGTAACAAATATGATATATAACAGTGAGGGAATGTGCTGTACCAAGTATTCTGCATACAAATTTTTAAAAATACACAGGCAAGTAGCTTGCATGCTGCTGAAAGGTCTCAACTCAGAGTCTTCCAGGTTCTCCAGCTTGTGGGTTTTGGCAGGTTTTTCAGTGGAGGTACAAACTTTCATCGTTAAATTATGCATACTTTTCTTAATTACCTTCCAGAGACCCTTGATGATCATACTGTGCCCCTCCCAAGAGGCACAGATGGTAGTCTTAAAACTGGTCTTAACAGTCTCTTTCTTTATGCAAATGTGACTGTTTGTCCAGTTGTAGAAGTGGCTGAAAATTGTACATGTTGTTGTATTTTGAGCTCAGATTGTACGTTGAGCTGGAGATTTGGAGTACTAAAAATGGGATCTGTTATGGAGTGTGCTAAAAAGCTGAGGCTCTCTGCTTGCAATAGCCTCTGGTCTTCCATGAACTAGCAGAGAGGGGACCTGGAATGTGTGTGTGACAAGTTACATAGATTTGATTAATCAAGATCCTTTGTGTGTTTAAGAAAGTTCTTTTGCCGAGGCCAAAAGTCCTACATTCAATATTCCCTTCTGCTTCTCAGAAACCTCAGATTTACTATTATTCAAAGCCTTGGCATAACAGAAATTGTAAACCACAGAAATGACAGTTCATGACATATTTGTAGTTTGGTATGGAACTTCCATTTGCTATGGGTTTTATTATGTCGAATGTGGATGTCACAGAATCACAGAATGGTTTGGGTTGGAAGGAACCTTAAAGCTCATCCAGTCCAACCCCCTGCCATGGGCAGGGACACCTCCCACCAGACCAGGCTGCCCAAAGCCCTGTCCAACCTGGCCTTGAACACTTCCAGGGAGGGGACATCCACAACTTCCCTGGGCAACCTGTGTCAGTGTCTCACCACCCTCACAGCAAAGAATTTCTTCCTAATGTCTAATCGAAATCTGCCTCCTTCCAGTTTAAAGTCATAATCCCTTGTACTATCACTATTGTAAGAATAATTTTCGTTTTTATCCTGGGTGCCTTTCATTAATTGTCCAGTAATGGATCTCGAGTTTGTAGGACCAAAAAACCTGTAGGTGCAAAACGAATGGAAAGGAGAAATCTTTTCATTTGATTGGAAAAAACAGAGCTGAACATTACTTGGAGCTATGTTTGAGAGCATGAGTGAAAGTAATGTTTGTAGAGTTTAGGAATATTTTCTCCTTTCCTCCAGAGAAGAGTATGTGCTGGCATTGAGCCAGGACCAGGGTCTGCCCTTGGTTTGGGAAGCAGTAACTTTCTGCCTTCGCTGCCCTCTCTGCAGGGCTGCCTGGTGTGGGCTAGCGACCTCCTAGGGTGGCTGACTAGCTGATGTGCGGTGGGGGGTGCCAGCCTGAGGACCACAGGCTCAGTTCTGCTCTCACTCGCCTCTGTGTAACCCATTTAACTGCACCTGAGAATTGTCTCTGCTCTCATGTAACATCTTCAATTACTGTAACTAAAGATTAACTTTGTTGCAACAAAAGGTTAAATGAAAAATCCGAGTTTCTAGCTTAGACATTACCTCGCTCCTTTGATCATTATATATGATTTGGATTAGTCATAGCTGACATCAGGCACTTTTTCTTTTATGCAGTGCTCCAATGTCTCCATATTTAGAAACTATCTATCTATCTATCTATCTATCTATCTATCTATCCATATTTATTAATGGAAAATTATAAATTCAAAATTTCTGTAACAGAAATGTCATAAACAAGAGAAAAATCTGAGAAAATTTACAGTCTTGAAATGAAATAATGGTATTTTAGGCTGCTATTTTCTCCCCATGAAAACCTGAGAACAGACGCACTTCTAAAGTGAGGAGGAGGTGTTTGCTGTAAATTAAATAACACAATTTTATGGAAACAATTTTCTTTATTTTTGTCCTCAGAAATGTTTTTTTTTACTTAGCACTCAACAGATCCAATGTATTTGCCTCAAGACCTGGTATTTGTCCAATGGAGAATATGGAGACATCTGATTATCCTTGCACGTTCGATACTGAATGTCCAGGGCTTAAAAAATGCTGCAACTCATCCAAGGGAGCAGGCTGTGTGGATCCAATGCCAGAGGGTATGTTATTGATAAATTCAAGACTGCTTCTAGTAAAAATATGCTTAGATTTTCCTTCTGAGGGTGGGAGTGAGCAGGAAAAATGTTACCATAACTCTTCATAAAACAAATACGTGACTCTACTTTGGATCAGTCTCAGGATACTCAGTTTTAGTATTGCTCCTATGAGTGCTGAACTGTGAGTGCTACAGATCCAGTGGACCTTGCTCAGCTTCTTCTCCTTTGCTGGTGCTGCTGCCTGTGACGTATGGCAAAGGAGGCCGTAGCTGATTGTTGTATATGGACACTTCATATTTGCAAAGTAAAAGCTTGGTTTGATTCTTCAGAGCCTTCCTATAGCTCTGCCACTTTCTGTAGCATCAGACCTGAGATAACCTGGCTCTTTTATTTTGTATGCTTCAGGAGGAACATTCTGATACAACATAACAGTGCTTGTGAAAATAGATTTTAATGAATTAATCAGAGTCGATTTCCACCTTCTGAATCATTCACGCCTTTTGCACTCCATGGTATGTACAAACACGAACACTCCCATCTGTTGCTCGTTGTGTCCACATTTCTGTTAGTAACCAACACTTGCTCCAGCCCGGGAAGGATCTCATGGTCCTCTATGCTGGACATAACCTTGCCAGCCAGTTGCTCCCCAGTTCTGCCAGATTTCTTTTTTTGCCCTAATTTGTCTCTAATCAGTGAATGCCAGCCTCATCCTCAAGGAGATCAAGTAATATTGATTTATCAGCTTCCTTAGGAAGTTTTTCAGGTCTCTTCCAAGGGCAATTTAGAGACATTCTGAAACATAGGAATTTTTTCCTGCTTAAGCATAAACTTGCTCCAAGTCTGTCTTTGTACAGTTTGGGGTCTATGACTATCTGGGTCTAGATTGCAAGACGTGGGTGTTGCTTCTGCTGTAGGACCAGAGCTCTGTCCCGTGCATGGATTAGCAGTGGCATTGGCAACAAGGTGTGCACGGCCGTGCGACAGCAGCATGGCTTGCCTCTCCCTGTCCCTGACACATCAGGTAGGAGGAGTCCGAGTCAAACAAGAAAAACACAGCCCTAGCAGAGGTGTGAGGCACACTTCCAAAAAGGAGGGTCTGCAGGAAGAACCAGGCTACAAACAAGGCTCAGACAGGGGGGCTCACCCTGTCCTCTAGAGGGTGTTTAGGAAATGAATTGATGAACTAAGATGAAGACCCTTCACGCCATAATCCTGAAGCATTTCCCTAGTACACATCACCAAGTTTGGATGCAGTTTTTAAAAAGGACCCAAGAAGGCAGTTCCTTATTTCCCTCCATTTTTACTTCTACTCGTCCCCAGTTTCCAGCTGGGAGTGGACTAGTAGCAAAGGAAACCCTTCTTCCATCATCAGCTAGCACTAATGGGCAGAATAGAAGGTAGCAGTAGCATGGAAATGTTGCATGATTTTACTACTTCCTCCTACCTGAATTCACCTTTCTCATGTCCTAAAAATGTGAGAAACCCTGATCCTGTCACTGAAAAGGAATATAACGCAGTGATCTGCTCAAACTTTCATATCTTGGTTTAAAGCAAGATATAACAAGTCAAACACTCAAAAAATAGGAACTATAAACTGAAGCTTTGCAACTCAGAGGAATGTTTTCCAGACCCTGTCTGCCCCACTGACTCCTAATGCTCAGCCCACCACTGTTTCCCTTCTCTGATTCCTGACTCACAGTTGTGATAACTTGGTCATTCCTGGGGTCTCTCTGTGGCTCTTAGTCCCAGCCTTCTTGCTCAGTCCGTTGCTTTTTTTCTTTCTATTCCCTTTGCCAGCAGTCTTTTTAATTTCTTGAAGTAAGAAGTGTTGGACAGCTTTATTACAGATGTGCTGTAATAGCATGTCTAAAGTGTATTAAGTCTATTAAGATTTTGGTGGTTAAGCATTACAAGCCAAAGACACTTCTCCTGTATTTTCCTGGATTGCACTCTCCTGCCTAAGCATTTGAGATCTGGCATGCAGCTCCACACCTCCCTTTGCTTGCCATTACAATGCTGTAACTCTGTTGTGAAATGTGATAAGGAGAGCTCACCTTGCATAAATACAGACCTAAATGTTGCCACTTTGCTATGGTTTCTGAGTTAGCGCTTTCTATATTCAGATTATGTTGATAATAACTGTATAGTTTACACCTTATTTGCACGCAGTTGTGCTGATAAAGGAGCAAGATACTGAAGTGTTTGTTCCCCTGTGTCCTGGTTTAGTGTGACAGAATCCTAGAGTCAGTTTTTCTGTTGAGAAAAACTGCGATATTGTAAGGACTACAACACTCTATTTCATGGGAGCAAAGTTGGTAAAAACTTTGTTACAGGTTTCCACTAGTATTGGTATGCAGGTTACCATAGTGTTCAAGGTCTTCAGCAGTCTTGATATAAACAGGTGCAGAGGCTGGTGGTAGCAGAAACCTAAGGGAGTCGACCCCAAGGCGTCCCCTGGCCAACCAGTTAATACTATTCATACCATAAACATGTCATTCACTATAAATTGGGGAGTTTGCTGGGGATGATCTTTGTCTTCCTCTCCCTCCTGCTCCCTGTTCTGTGGCTGACAGCTTGAGAGGGATTTGTTTACTGTCCTCACCCTGAGACCTACTCCACCACAGTACTGTCTGAGTATAACTGTGTGTATTTTATATTACAACTGTTAATTAATACTAGTTCATTATTATTTAATTTTATTATTATTATTTTCCTAAATATCTTTCTATTTCAACCCACGAATCTCCTTTCCTTTTCCTGACCCCTGTACCTGAGGGGAGAGGAGGCATCAGGTGACAGAGCAACTGTATAAACCATGACACCCTGTTTTCCAGATTACCAGTGCATTACAGCCCTTGAACACCTCTGTGTACCATATCCAGAGTAACCGTGCAGAAGTATACGCTGAGACAGTGGCTTCTCAGGTTCTCGTTGAACTGTACCAACCAGATCCACTAGCAGAGGTTTCTTCTTCCTTGAAGGACATTGTGAAGCGCGCGTATGAAGTGATTGACACAGAAGTGCAAGGTTAATTACTATAATCCTGTTATGGGGGGTAGCTTTTTCAGGGGGTTTCACCTCTCTTCACTCAGAATTTTATCTCCATGACTATCAATTTGCTTTCAAAAATACAGTCTGAACTTTGTAAATATGGCCCTAAGCTATCCATTGTAGAATGAGGAGTTGTAGTTAGCTAATAATCATTTTGGAGCGTATAGTTTGGAGGGGAGTATTGCTACTTCCTTAATTAAATTTATCTTCTCACAGCATAGCCCAGCTTCATATGTAAAGGCAAAGGTATTCAGATTTGTAGCACAATCATTATTTGTATCAAACAGGCTCTTAAAATAAGTGTTTTCTTGGGAAGCAGAGTATCACATAATCACAGAATCACAGAATCACTCGGTTGGAAAAGACCTCCGAGATCATCATGTCCAACCGTTCCTGTCTACCCACTGAACCATATCCCTAAGTACCTCGTCTACCCACTCTTTAAATGCATCCAGGGATGGTGACTCCACCACCTCCCTGGGCAGCCTGTTCCAGCCTCTGACAACCCTCTCAGTAAAGAACTTCCTCCTTATCTCTAACCTGAACCTCCCTTGGCACAGCTTGGTGCCATTTCCCCTTGTTCTATCCTCCATCACCTGGGAGAAGAGACCAGCACCCACCTCTCTACAACCTCCCTTTAGGTAGTTGTAGGTGGTGATGAGGTCTCCCCTCAGTCTTCTCTTCTCCAGGCTAAACAACCCCTGTTCCCTCAGCCGGTCCTCATAAGGCCTGTTCTCCAGACCCCTCACCATCCCTGTGGCTCTTCTCTGAACATGCTCCAGAATCTCAACATCTTTCTTATAGTGAGGGGCCCAGAACTGAACACAGTACTCGAGGTGCGGCCTCACCAGTGCCGAGTACAGGGGGATAATCACCTCCCTGGACCTGCTGTTCACACAGTTTTTAATACAGGCCAAGATGCCATTGGCTTTTCTGGCCACGTGGGCACAGTGCTGGCTCATGTTAAGTCGACTGTCAACCAACACCCCCAGGTCCTTCTCCTCCAGGCAGAGTATATCTGCTTTTATGTGTTACTACCAGAAGCTTGCATGAAACAAGGAGTATTTATAGTCTGTTGATTATTATACTGTATTATTTTCTACTTTTAAAATGATAGGTAAATATTTAAATAAGTTAGGTTTAAATTATTTCAATCTACTTATTACTGTGTAGTAATCTGAATATTTTCACTTCTGAAATGCATCCCATAAGCATTATTTTCATCACTTCTTATTCTGTGTTTACTTTTGAAATGTCAGTCCAACTTTCAGTGAAATCAGTGGGTAGATCTCCTTACCATGCTGCTGATGTCTCTTGGGTTTGGATGACACCCTGGAACCGTAAGCAAGAGCTGCCACTAATTGTCATCTTATTCCAAAGAACTGGAGTAAAAAATGGTAGGGTTATAACTTAATAGGGGTTAGTTTCGGGGAAAGGCAGCTTTTTGCTTTCATTGCACCTGTATACATCCAGAATTGCTTCAGCAAGCTGACTAGAGATTTACACCGAATTTATAATATCCAGAGCCTGCTCTACACCAATTGCAGATCAGTCTTGATGCTGCTATCAATACCTGTTCAAGGTGTGTTCTTCTTCTTAGATGTCAATGAATGCTCCTACACTGAATTCAACACTTGTCCTGAGAAAAACACTTGCATAAATCTGGAGGGTTATTACAGCTGTCAGGAACATGCAGATGTGGAACCTCACCAGCTGAGCACAGGAAAGGAAGGTAGGAAATGTGGGTCTCACCTTGGCAAATACGGAGAACATTTCTGCAGGACTTGTGGTCTATTGCAGGACTTACTGCAAGGCAAAGATTCTGGAACATGCAGTGCCCCTTCTCCTCCTGCTGGGAGAAGATGCCACATAAGCCAACTGTTAGCTATTTCTGATTGAAATGCACTGTATTTATTTCACAGTACCTGTCTGTCTCTCCTATCTCTACCCTCAGCTGCCCTCTCTCACCCGCCAAACCCTCTAGCTTCAGACCCTGACTGCTTCTCTGCGTGTCAGTACAC